AGTATAGCACACTGCTGGGATTTTGCTGATTGTGCCTTTAGCTGCAGCGTGTTTCACCTCGCTTCCAAAGTGCGCGGGTGACTATGAATGAAAGTCAAATTGCAACAGAAGTGTTTCTCTGCTGTTACTTGAAGTATACATGAATCACTTTTTCTGGACATGTAAAGTCTGATTTTTGTATTTCATCTGATAAGGTGGCTTTATGTGTTATCTTAGAGTTCCTGGCATATGGCTGTTAGTTTTCTGACTCTCAAGTGTATTGCAGAGAGGGGTTATATACACCTGTAAGTCAAACAGACTTTTCCTGTTCTGAAATATTTAGACTTTAAACACTTTTGAATAAACTTATACAAGCTGACAGTCTACTAACTGTAATAGAAAAATAAAGGATTGCTTTATGCATTGCACTTGCAGACATAACACTATAACCATTTAGCAAACTATTTTGATATTAGTGAACTTAAAACAAATTACCTGAATAGGAACTCTCTATTTTCCTCGTCGTCCTTTCCCTGCTGACAACCTTGTAACCAAATTAGAAACAATTTAGCTCTCCCCTTGTTTTTGCAGGAAGGCCAGCAAGTGGTTGAATTTGAGTTGAATGTTTGCATCTTTCTCAACTTGACTACCTGAAATAGGTTCTGGCTTTCTCTAAAGCATGACTGGTCCTGCAGTCACTCAGCTCTTTTCCACCCACTCTTACCTTCTCAGTGTCCTCAAGGTGTCTTGTAAGTCTTGCAGGTAAAGTTGAGTTGCTTTGGGCGTCCATCCTCTGCTGTCAGGCAGTGAGATGTGTTAGAAGGTGGCGTCCAACCTGCCACGGAGGGTGAGGGCAGTGTCCCCTCCGCTGTGCAAGGCTCAGGTGAGCGAGGCAGCGTGCACAGGTACTTGTTTGTACAGTGGTGCCTGTATCACCTCCCACTTGGTGTTCTTAAAGTGGCACAATCCTTCCAAAGAACAGATGAAGCAGTTCTGCCTTGACCACAGTTTGCTCAGGATCAACAAAACAATGGCTGGCTGTTTATGCATGCACAAGCTGCTTTAGGAGACAGTCACTTGTGAAAAATGATGGCCCTTTTTTGCCAGGAAACTACTTGGGCTTTCCTTGTAAATCATCTTAATTTACTCAGAAGTGAATAATCTGATAATAATAACCACTCTGAATCTGAGTTATTTAATGAGTAGTACATGTAGCCTTGATGCCCCTAAGGTTGCTGCAGATCCAAGGGGTTCATACACCCAACTCTTACAACTATGTATGTTCAACAACCCACTTGCTACTTGCAAGCTTATCTTTACTTAAATATTTGAAAAATCACAGCTATGGTCAGGCTGCTGCAGTATCTATTCTATGGAGTAAAAAGCACGTAGCAATCCTTTCGGAGGCTTTGCTAAGCCAACTCTGGCTCTGCTGCATGCTGTTATGGAGGTGGCACTATGCAGTCACTGAGAAATGGCCCTCTTTTCTATACACTGTACTGCATCTAGCACTTGACTGATGACAAGGAAAAATGTGAAAACTGCAGCCTGGGTTAAAAACCCTTTGTTGGGGACACTGAAGTTGGTGCAACCATCTGTCTTGCAATGGAGATATCCAATTCAGTGTGTTTGCACATACTGAAACCAAAGTTCAGACTTCACGCATGTCCCTTTAGAACTCAAAGTCACCCAACTGGCAATAGGGTTTTTAAAACTCTTACAAAACTCAGAAAATGTGAACTAGGGTATTTTTACAGAAAATTACTTTTAAGAATCATTTTTGTGTGATGGATAATTTTTATAGAATTAAAATCAATTTTCTGAGCATTTGTTTCGGGGGAAAAAAATTTGTTTTCCATTGTCCAAAGCAGAATCAGTAACACTTTTCTCCCCAAACTGACATGTGACTTCCATCTCTCTTGATATTTGACACTCTTTAATTGATCTGGCCAAACCCAGGTTCCTTTCCAAGTTCCAAAACTGCTTATGCTGTTTTTCACTGGCTTTGAAGATTAAGATTTTAATCTTATCCTGGTGGTGGTGTCATTACTATCATCTTTGGAAGTGGTACTCTCCATTGGCTGAAAACTGAACATTGCACAGTTTATGTCAGCAAGACAGGTGGTCCAGTATGCACACAAGTACTGGGAAATACATGATGAATGGTGGCAGTCTTATAAGGCACAGCTAGTATGCAAGGTTAGGATAGGGTGGGTTAGGCTTTTAAAATAAATTCATAAACGTTTCAGAAAATAACTTTGAAGTAAACAGTTGCCAGCCTTGGGGGATTCCTCGTGTCTTTCTACAAATCAGATGATGCTGTGCTGCCCTTTCACCCAGATTTAGGAAATAAATTAGGTGCCTAAATGCTGAACCAATCTGCTTTTCAGGCCAAGACTGCTGTTTCCAGACCTGCCTGTTGTCAGCAGGGTTGCTGGAGGGAGCAAATTCAGGCAGGGTGAGAAATGCTTGCTTGCTTTAAGGTTTTAGGTCCTCATCTAATACCACAAGTAGCTAGAGGGTCCGAACAGGGCTCGTATCTGTAGCTGTGGAGTAACACAGTAAGTCCTTTACCCTCCTCCCTAGGAGTCCACAGGGGAAAATGTCCAAGCACAGGGTGGTGGGGGAACATTTCTGCTGTGGCACATAGTCATCAGACTGACAGTGAAGGCAGCTACCTGGAGATAAGCAGGATAAAATAAAAAACTTACCACGGCTTCAGATGTTTGGGGAGGTCCAACTTCATTCTCAGGCTGATGTTAATAATCATAAACTTCCCAAACTCTATTGGAATATGATGAGTGGAAAACTACTGTAGGAGGTGATGCCTGTGTTCCTGTTTCCTCATGCTTGTGGCAGAGTTAGTTTTACAACAGGAGTCACGCAAGGCTGAAGACTGTGGGTGGGTGAGCTGATGGGTGCAGGCAGATACTGGTGAGCTGTAAAACGTTTGTGAGTAAGAGTAAGAATAGAGTTTGAAAGTGAAACAGTGCGTAGGGACTCCCGAGTCCTCATTTGCTCTCTACATACCTGTTTCACCTGGGTTAACATAGCAGTCTACCTAGACCTTACGTGATCTAGGATTCAGAAGTTTATTTTGGCTATGTTGCCCAGACATAAGGCATTAGTTAACAGCTTGTAGATTTCCTTACATGCTGCACAGATGCATTGGATAAACTGAGGGCTTTGCCCACAACTTTTCTATGTTGGGATAACTTTACAGCTCCTGGAACAGGGAAACATAGTCCTATTTAGTATGCATTATTGTGATGAAAGATTTTCATATTGCTGGAGTAAATTAAGTAATCTGTGGAGGTAGAACCACCTGCAGGCACCAAATTGTTCAGGCAGAAAGATGTCTCGGTTTGATGCTAGCCCTGTTGCATTAATCATCCTAAGTGAAACCTGTAAGATAAATTGCTTGGTTTGCAGAGAAGAATGATTCACAGGCCATGACATCAAGCAGAGGGCTAGGAAGATCCATGCCTTGTGATAGAGCAGATGGTGAGAACATGTACTTGAACTATTTGAGTCATTGAATTTAAGTCAGCTCGGGAACTGCAGTGATGGGCACAGCTATGGGGCTCCAAGCAGCCCCTTGGGTGTCCCCTGCATTCACACCAGCTGTGAGCATGCCTTCCCTCCCCAATTACCTTCATAGTTTGACTGTTCTGTCTCCTTGATGCACAGAGGAGCTGGTCTGGCTCTAGAGCTGGATGTTTCCGTGCTTAGCTCTTCATGACCAGGCTGGAACTAACAAAGCTCATGTGAGTGAGTGTTACTGATAGCCAGGCATTTGGCCAGATGTATATGGCAGCATGCCTGGATGCACAACCAGCCTTTGTACCATGTCATGGAGCTTATGTAGAGCCTTCATTGTCTAACCGATGTTGACTTCAACTGCCCCAGAGGAAGGAAAAAAAAAATCATAGACATCTCTGGATGTGCCTCTTACGCTGCACAACTGTGCATCTAACGTTGGGAATACTCAACTTCAGCAGGTGACTGGACCCCAGTAACAAAGTTAAGAAAGCTTTGTCTTAATCCTTTAGCTTGAGGGCACAGGCTCTGTGCAGCTTCTGCAGTGAGGGCAGACCATAGGCTGCTTCAGAAATGTAGGTATCCAGCAAGCTTAGCCCCATCAGCTTTCGCCAAGCAGCTCTATGGTGCCCCAAAATTAGGTGTGTCTGAATCTTTCTAGCTCAAAAAAATTGACCTTGCCATGGCTTTACTGATGTCCCCATACCACATGGGCACTGTGACAACTCAGCTCTTGCGTGTTTTCTTCCACACGCCTCCCACATGGCATGGGACCTTGGGCTTCTTGTGCTGCTACCACTTTGAGTCAGGAAAGAGGTTAGGAGTTGCTGGAGGGCCTCAGGACAGGTGGCTTCTGGCCACTGCTTTTCAGGTATATGAAGGTAAAAGACTTGCTGACTAAAGCTTTCCCATGGGAAAAGGTAGGTGAGTCCCCCTGTGCTCATCACGCTGTGTCACCCTGGCAGTGCTGCTTATTTCGTCTTTCACGGGATCTGTTACAGGTGAAGATGGCGAGAGAAATGCAGGCTGAGCAACAGCAGTGGTAGCAGGAGTGTCTGTATGGGTAGAGTTGGTAAGGGAAACTTATAGAAAGGATCAAAATACACACAAGCTAGGCTCATAGATAAAGGGGTGCTGGAGGATCTTGTGGCCACAAGTCACTTTAGCTATGTGCCCAAGAAATCTGCTTTTTGCTCTTGTTGTAATAAGCAAGCAGGTTAACAGAACAGCAGGAACCCCTAGGCAGCCCTACCAGGAAACTCAGTGGGCAGTGAATAACAGAACAGACAAGAGAGCCACTGCTCCTGTTAGAAGTGATTTCCTCTTTATGGCTGGCATTTGTTTAAAAGACAAACCAGGCTGAGGAAGAGTTACTTCTATTTTTCCTGCTGCGTTATCTGCGTTCGCTAGCTACAAATGAAGAGACAAAGGGTAGGAAAGTGCATTCCAGGGAGCCTGCCAGACAGCAGCAGGGGGAAGCACTAAAACTGACAGGCAATAAGGCGATTCTGGTTGCGCTTTTTGCCGTTCCAAGTGCCATCAGTGTACATCTCCACACATTCCTCTTTCC